CACAGTGGCTCCTTAGATGGGATACCAGTCCATTGCAAGGGATTGACCCCCTGCAATGCTTGTTCCCATTCACACAGCGGGGTGGACTGTTGAAATTGGGGTAATGTGCTTTACTCAAGGGTAAACCAACAGAGTCTGCAGCAGGCATATAATCCACAACCCCCAACCCCCTAGTCATGAATCCAAAGGCTTACAAGCTGCACTATACCACCACTAACAAACAGGGCATTGACGGATTTTAGCTCAAATATGTTATATATGCCAGAATGAGCTTTAGAGAAAGAACCCATAAAAATCTGCATATCTTGGTCATGGCACATGCGGCAAATATTCCAATTAGTCTGGGAATTCAGACAAGAAAAACGTCTGTACTGATCCCATATTTGCCCGTCATTGTTTTTGGCAACTATGGACACATTTGTGTGTGCTTGTTTTAAGGTGTTACTTTCCACCAATGCTATTGCTAACCACATTACTCCATTTATGAAAAGAAAATGAATAACAGGCTGTAAAGGCTCAGTGGAGCTATACAGTAGGTATTTCCTCAGATGGCCTGAAGGTAAAAGAACAATATTCAGCCCTCACACCACAACCTAATTATTGATCCATTTATCCAGAAAAAGTATACAGTTTTATTTACAGCAGGCTACCTGGGTACAATGTTGTACATAAAAACCTAATGGTGTTTGCAGCAAGTCATAATTATTAAAGTAATATTAGGCAGATCTAAGCAAGCATTTTGTGTTAGCAATGAATACAGCAGTAATTACAACTGCATTAGCCAGACTCATCATTTTTGTAATTGAAGATAAAATAAATTTAAGGTAATGCAGGTCTGTGTTTATTAACAGTACAAAAAACTAAAAATCTAGACTAACAATGTATTTCTTTAACAGAGTTTCAGTATTTCAACACTGTGACAGAGACACAGCAACCAAACTGTTTGCCTTGCCTCAAACCTTGCCTCAGACACACAAACAAAGCAACACCACCCAGTGACACCATGCCAAAGGTTTTTGTTTTTACAGGCACATGTGATGAAATCATAAATTAAGAAAGAAAGTCATTTCTAACTATAAGGCATTGATTCCACAATTCCATCTCCTCCCCATTCCCCCACCTTTAGTCCCCTTTCATTATATATCCTGGTGGTGAAAAATGCAACACACCTACTAATTAAAACCAACAACAGCTTCAGAGCTCATTGGAGTTTTACATGAGATTTTGACTTCCACCATCATTAACACTGACAGGTATACTGTATGTGTGAAATTGTATAAAAAGTGGAGGTTCTCACTGAGCTGACATGCAATAATCCAAAATCCCATGATTTTTTCTAACTTCTCTACATTGTTTTTAGACATAGTATCATTTCAAATCAGGCTTAAAACACAGAGGGGAAGATTTTTTTTTTTTATTTATTTTGTGTTTTGTTTTGGTAAGTAGTATGATCACCTGATTGGAAACAACAGTGTCACCAACAAGAGGAATACGCCCCCTACTTTTATTTAAAGGGAAAGCCCCAATTTCTCAGAATAGTTTCTCAGACCAAATTCATTGACGTTATAGAAAAATTTTATAGATCAAATTAAGCACAAAATCGTGAAATTTGTGAAAGTACTGTACATGTTGTCCCAAACCCCTGGTTTTGCCACGGGCTAGAGCAAGAGTTCCCACGAATTGTGATGTGATGCACCCCTTCCTGCTCGCTAGTCACTGTAATAACTAATGTAATGTACGAGTTAATTAAGTCCAGGACGTGCAGTGGATATTTCACCACAGAAATGTTCCAACATGATCTGCATGCAGAGGTAACAAGTAAGTAGTATAATCCAATAGAAATCTTGCTCTCGACTTCAAGATGGTTTTGCTGTCTTGAAATTGAGAGTAATAGTTCTATTGGATTAAAAGAGATGTATTCGAAAGCCTGCTTGTTTACAATGTAATAGGACTGCTTCACCTCACCAGTTGTTTTTTTGCCTGTTCTGAATATGGTGATGCGCATACCTGGAAATTTCATGTATCTTGTGATTGTTAATCGGAGGTTTTACAAATTACTGAGCACATTTTACTTTTATTGTGGCTTGAAATACACCGATCAATGCTGAGTCTTTCTAACCTTGAAATATAAATAGCATGGCAGTTTCCCCTTAAGGTCCAAAACCATTATTGTTAGAAGTCACCCAAATAGTAGATTCATGTTTTAAAATAATTCAAACTCAAATTTGCTGACCTTCTTTTTTCTAGTGGCTAAAATCCAACAGGGAATAGCTGCATTATCTGAATTAAGGAGGTGAAAGAAAGCAGATTACATTTCTGCTTTTGAAGGATATCCTATATTTAATAACCTGAAGACCACCCATTCAGTCAAATACAGTACTAGTTGATTTATGCTGTAAGTATTTAACAATACTACAGTATATTAATCTTGAACAGGTAGTACCAAATCCTTACAAATGCATCATGTGTGTCATATTACAAACTTTAAGTGAAATTAAACATACACCATTAGGGTGTAGGTCTTAACTTACTGTACATGCTAGAAATCAGCAATGGCACACTGTACTCAGTTATGCTTCCCTGTTCAACATCCAATTCCCAACCTTCACTTCTACATCTGCACTCCACCCCATCCCACAAACATCTACTGATCTCCATGTCTGAAATGTCATAGGTACACAATCTGTGATGGGGAGTTGTCAAAAGGGGAATGCACATAGCTGTCTGAACACCTATGACGTTGAGTGCATTGTAGTTAATTAATTCAACTTGACGTATACCAGAAATCCCTCTGACTGGCTAGGTAATGTAACATTTTTACAAGTATTACGAGTAAGGCTTCTGTTCACTGGACTCCAGATCTGTTATCGACATTACATATCTGCTGGAGTAAAAAATCATGGACAATCTGGAAAAAGCACACCTTCTAATGTATTCACCTCTTAATACAGAGGTGTGATCTGACTTACCTTAAGTCCTTGCTAGGTAGCAAACACCAAAACTAACTGCAGATTCTAAATAAAGTATTAATTAAAAATAACACCAGTCGCTGCCTCATAAATGCTTTAGAATTCTACTCTGTAATCAAATTCATGATCAAAAACCCATCCAAACACCACCCATACGCTTTTAACCACAACTCTTTTTTTCTTGTTTTTCTCAAACCACAATGAAGAGAAAAAAGCTTGAAATACCAATCTTTGTAAAGTCTTCTAGGTTTGTAAGAGTAATAATTGAATTTTATCCTTACATACCATGATAACCTAATTCACTCAAATTGATACTGCTTACTGAAAGCATAATGCCAAAACTGTAGAATGACTGGGAATAGTTGGAACTATTAAAAGGTCAAACAAATCAAATAAAACAATGTCTTCCTCAAGTAATGTTAATTCTTTTCAAGTGTCAATTAATTATTCTTTAAAAAAAACAATTTAAAAAGTACCTTATTAACCAATAGCACGGTTAACACTAGGAAACAAGAGCCCTACAAATTCAAGAAGGTCCAAAATCTGACCGGGACAGCCTCATATAAAATCCTCACACACATTCAAACATCCATCAGAATAGCTTAGCAGTGAATAACAAATTGCTTCCGACAAAGGTTTTCAAAATTAAAATGATGGAAAAGATTTTATTCCAGATTATTTGGGTATAGAATACAGTAGTACTATGTAGACATATTCTGTTCTGTTAAACTACTGTTAAGGTATGTCAAAATTCTTTAGTTCAATTTTGCAGTTTTTAATTTGTAGTTAACTTAAATAAATGTATCTGCTTTAATCAAAAATATATTTTACATATTTCCTTTAAAAAGGAGCTCTTTAAAATCATCTGGAAGTCTCCAAATATTTTTAAACTATGGTATGATTATCTAATGATGTTAAACTTTACAAGCATATATTGCTAGTCTCATTAAATTAAGGTCAAACATGATGATCCTCTTCTTCTAAAATTTATAAATATAAAATGCAAAATATTGTACTGTTTTTTTAAATATTTTAGCAGTGACAAAATCGTATTATATTATTTTTTCTTCTTTGTAATTAAGTAAAAATGAAACTATGCAGCAGACACACAGACCATTATCTGTACTTATCTAATACACTATTTGCAGATATTATCCTGAAGTTTCCCCCTATAATTTGTCATAATAGGAATTAAATATTTATAAAAAGGGGACTCTAAAACTAGTTAACTTTAAGTAAATCCCACAGACATTCAGCTAACAAATTGAAAAGTATGATGCAAAATCACTGAAAATGTACCTTATACCAATCATCCACAATACAGCTGTATTTCAATAAATGAATCACTTCAGTTATGTATTTTGGGAGAGACCAGTTTTAAAAAGACTGCACTTTCCTGACAGTTCTGATCACATTCATTAGAACTTGTTCCACTGTTGGCATAGAAAATAGTAACCTGCAGACCAGCATTATTGTGGAAGACTAAAAATATCATCATTAAAAATATCTCTTTCTGAAAAATAGAAAATACATTATATAACGTCAAGAAAAAGCCCTAAGCTTTACTAACAATAATGAAATACTTTCCATGGCTTCTATCCATAAGGAAAATTAAGGTAAACCTTTGACTATAATAAATTAAAGTAAAAGAACTCTCATTTTAGTTACTTTTATTTACTTAAGCATTGAACCTGTGCATTATTATTGAAATATTTGTATATGAAAACCCACCTGAATATTTGTGGGTAATTGAAGCTAAATATATACTTTTCTCAAAACACATGGAATCATACACACTATGTCCCACCGTACTGGCTAAAAAAAAAAGACACTGAAAGCAAAACCTAGAGTAAAACTTTACATACTCATATGCAAACAGAAATTCTATTCCACCTCTGCTATGCTGAGTGCAAATGACAGAATAAAAAGTAAAAGTTATAAAGACCCAAGGTCTGTGTGCTTTCTGAAGCGACGAAGAGGAAGCAGACGGACACATAGCAAAAGCAATGAAAAAAAAAAGATGCCACCTACCTTCTTCTGATACCACACTACAGCATCTCTCACTTTGGACGCCATTTACATGCCAGGGGTCACCACACAGGTCATTTTAAGCTGAAAAACAAAGGGAAGTGAGAAGCCCGTCAGTTCTGTATCTCGTGCTCCTGCACCCTGGCAGCTCTTTAAATCCTTGTTTCACCTGCCCAGCAGGTAAGCTTACTCACCGATACTACACACCCCCTCATTAATACTAAAGAAGGAAGCCTCCTAGGCATACCTACTGTATGGGTTCTCTGTGCCTCACAGAGAGCCTTGTTACTTGCTTGGCCAAACCAGAGTGGAGAAAACCGTGACAACACTGTATTTAGAAACTCTATACTCTTAAATTACTTACTGTTCCTGTTAAAGCACAGATATTTCAGAACACAGCATAAAACACAACCTAAAGCTCTGTTAACTGTACCATTGTATTGATTCCATGGTGTTTAAATAAGGGCATCTCGATTGAGAACCTTTTGCTAAATGCAGGGCTTATTCTGATTTCTCCCCACACATCTGGATGCCCCCCATCTGCTCCCAACTAAATTTTATAGAAATTCCATGTCATCAATGTGGTCATGTGATGCGTTTTCTTTAGAGTGCCAGTGATGCATCCTTTTAGAAAACACATGCTAACACAGAAATGTGTCATGAAACAATAGGGGCAGCCAGCCATCTGCAGATCAAATGTGCATATGTAGTTCATTTTGTAGGTCCTTAAAATCAATCTATGACCAAATTAAAGGTTTTTACCTACTGGCCAGCCAGCATAGTATGAATGGGGTATCAAATGTTTTCACCAAAGACATGCTGACATTTAAGCCAGAGCAAGATTCTTGAAGATTGTGGGTAGTTCTAAGATCCTTTACTTGCATTAAGACTTCCTTTCTAATGCTTCATCTTTTTGACTGCATCATCGTAAGATCTTTGTGCCACATCAAAAATAATGTGCAGAGAGTATTGTAACACCTTCTAAGTATAGCTCAGAATATACTGAATGACATTTACAGTACTAAAATAATATACTTCTGCTGGAACATTCAAGCTCTTCAGGTTTCCGTAACTTTAGTGTTTTAAACACTTCAACGTACCAAACATACAGTACAAACCCCAGGTCTCTGGCCTTCATCCACAGGCCGTTTTATAGGCAGCCAATAAGTCATCAACATCTAAAGACCTGTAACCATTTAATTGTGATGTGTTAAATGGGTGAGTTGTTAAATTCAGTCATTTTGATTTAAAAACTAGAAAGACTCTTCAGCCCCCAAGGACCAGAGCTCATTTAATTGAACGCATCACTTGTTTAATTGCTATACAACTATCAATAACTTTCAAGTCTTCCTAATCTTTCAATAACAGGTGATTTAGGAAGACTTGCTGAAAGAGAGTCTCTAAGACTAAGGTTGGAGATGCCTGGTATAGACTATGAATAATACCCACTGCTCTAAAATCCTAATTATACTGTACATACGTACATGTACACATTACATTACATACATTGATACCTATCAATATTTAATATAACTATTATAAAGAGATGACAGCGATAGGCTTCCTCAGTGCCATGTCTCCATGCCCTTTTGCCATCTCTCAAAAACCAAAGATATCAAAAGGACCATTAAAAAATATCTACTAAAGCACTACTTTGCATTTCACACAGTAAATGTATACACAAGCATACAGTACCTCACTCACAGTATTGAGTCATCCCTAGTCACCACTGTTTTCCATCACACCTGGAGCAACACAGCCACTTGGCATCTATTCCATGAAAATCACACCCCTGCAGGTAAAACACCCCACCAGTAAACACAGATAAATTAAAGAGGTAGACTGGGAAACACAGTATTGATTTTAAATAAAAAGAATAAAAAATCATGCCTACATACAATTCCCATAAACACACATTATAGCAATGCATGTAAACATGGTAAGACGTTGAAAAATGTCATATTGGTAATGCAAATGGCACTGGAAACTACTATTTCAGAAACTTTAGATAATGAAAGCGAGATAACATTCTTGGTTTACAATACTTCCCACAGTACTAAAATAAGCAAAACATCCTTCAGTAGGCTTAGATTTATATTGCCTCCCTAAACATAGTGTTGTGAACAAGTAATGTCTAGCATCAAGATGCATTTCATTTTAACACAAAATGTAGCGCTTAATGACTAAAATGACTAAACTATTTTAGATCCAAAAATACAAGTATGAAAAGTCTCTTTCATCAAATGTTTTAATCCACTCTGAGAATATTAAAAAAGAAAATAAAAAATGCATTCCACAAAACTGCACCCTTAAACTTACTGGCCAACATGCAAACTAGGGAAAGAAAAGGAGGAAACTGTGAGCACATTTGGCAAGAGCTTTAACAGTAACTTAAGAGGATAGTGCTGCGGACTTGAATATCAAACACACAAAACAGCACGGTAAACTGGTATGAACTGCTGTTTAATTTGTTTGGTAAGAAACACATCTGTGTCTGGTATAACAGTGCAGCTGCAGACAGCACATTCCAATCAATGCTCTGAAGGATTTCCCACGTACCATTACAAATACTGAGATCACTGCAGAACTACCCTTACAGTACGCTAACTCATCGAGTTTTTTAAGGTAATTTATTTTTTAAATAATTGCTGACTGGGACAATTTGTGGTCACTTATTTGTGGTCACCTTCTAAACTAGGTGTCATTTACGCACTATCCAAGCATTTGTGCAAGAGTTGGACAAAATTACGATCTGAGTAAGATTTATTCATCGATTTCACAGGAAAAAGAACAACTTCACTGAGGATGCATGAGCAAGGAGGTGTCCGTATTGAGCATATGGATAAACACAAGATGAGCAATAATGGCAACGTTCATCATAAGCACATCAATACATTTAAATAGATTGAAAATCAGCTGTCGGATGTCAGACTTTAGTTGCTTTCCATAATCAAAGTGCTGTGGACATTTTCTACTCGTTTCTACTCAGCTCCTTGGTAAGTACTGCACAGTGTTAGCCAGCACTCGTTCTCCCTAGACATTTCTGTGACAGCACAGAGGTAAAGAGTCTTCTCGTATAGTTTTTATAGCTATAAAAATCATAAATAATGTGCTTCTCTTTTAAACCATCCTATAATCCGATTTTAATCTATCCAGACCCATTTAAATAATTTAAAATATATACAGTATTGTAATTTACTACTAATTTAGTAATGACATATCATTTTGCTTACTGAATTCTTCAACCCTGGTGAACTTCAAGTTTTAGGCCAATAATGTGATGAAACAGAACAATAATAAAGTGCAGGAACCAAATTCACATCCCAGGCTTGTCTGCTTCTGCTAGCTGAAGTTATTCTCACAAAGATATCTTGTTTAAAAGAACTGAACCTAAACACCAACTCCAACAAGAACCTTTAGTTAGCAAAATGTTTTTATACACATACTGTACTCCAAAAGGGAAAATCAGAAAGAAGAAACAAATTTGACCAGCTACCTCCATTTTTTGAAGGGGTAAATGTGAAGCAGATTCTTTCAGTAGAACAGATCATTCAAAATCAAAAACTGCAACATATTATTAATGACACCTGATGGGGAACATTAAACACGAGACATCCCTCAGCACACGGCACATGGACTACAAGCTGGACTACAATAAATTATTTTTTCTTTACTTAGAGACCTTTTAAATCTCTGTTATGCTTCCTAGAAAATACAGTAAGAAGCAATAGACTGCCATTCTAAATTACGGTGTTCTCTGTAGTCTGCTTTGTCCCAGAAAATAATTAATATTCTGACAGGGTGATAAAGCACAGCAGATCTTATACAGACACAACACAGCATTCCTCATAATACAATACTATAAAGTAGTAACACAGCATTGATTAAAAAAAAAGATGCATTCAATTCCACAATTCACAGACAGCAAGGAATATGAATTATGCGATGTTTTGTAAGTTGTGGTTCTGATGCCAAAATATTGCAGGTAACCAAATTATTTAAAAGGTTTTTTCATTAAGATGTGTCACGTTCTGGCCATTTCTTAATGTAGTCTACATTCTTTGGGGTCAAGAAGATTTCAATTTAAAGTGACTTTAATAATTTAATAGCGTTTCTGGAGCTTAATTAGAGCTTTTGAAATGTTTCTTTGAACTGTATATGAAAGGCTCAGGTATATTTTAATTTTGAGTAGGGAGCTGCATCAGCATGCGTAGGCTGCAAAGGTACAGGTAAAGCTTTATTCCATGTTGAAAGGAAAAGAAAAGAAACACAAAAGGGCAAATAATTTGTATAACGGTTCAGTTTTCTAAAATACTTTTAAAGTGGGATCTTTAAATGTCCTTTTTCAAAGGAGTCTGATCGAGTAGCAACACTCAAGCAGTCGCCAGCTAGCAACAACCGAGTGGCTTATCGTAGGGAGAGTGATTCCACCATGTCCAGCTACCATTTGCTTATTGGCATTGTACATTCAAACCACCTTAAGACTTTGATGAGTTTCAATGTTACTTCTCTATGCCCAGTTTGCCATTTCGTTAACATGAACAGCAATACTGTGCTTCAGGTTAACTGAACAGTGAACAAGGCTCAGATAACCTGTTTTAGGCCAAAGTGAGAGGCAGGTGTACTGAAGATCATACTGCATCACACTGCAGTTAACATCAACATTATTTGTCTAGTCAGGCTGTGGGCTGGTTATCTCCTTATGGAGATTTTAATCACATTAGAAAAAAAGCATGCTTGTCATCTAAAAAATTACTAATTTTGTTGGATTATGATTCACAAACAGTAGAGTTAGTGGTCTGATGGCATTTGATGGCAATACTGTTAAGGAATAAGTAAGGTTTTAAGGTACTGTGAATGCTTCGTTGTGTAAAAGGGATTTTGTGGTTTTATTTCTTAAATATAAAACAGAAGAGACACTTTAATATTGCTTCAAGCATTTGTCAATGGTCAATGTTTGCAACAGCCTTCCTGTCACAATACTGAAGACAGCCTTATAATATAAGTATAGAAAAAATCTATATCGTGACCAAAATCAAACAGGACATAACTAAAGTGCTTTTTTTTTCCGAAAAAAATAAATA